TGAATAATCCTCTTAAACCAGAGGTAATCAACCTGTGCCCCCAGGCTAGATCTGGCCCCCTGAGCTGCATCATCCAGCCTGCAGACTCCCCATGGCTCTGAAAGCCTGGCATCAGGGGAGCAGTGGCAGTGTTAACTGCTGTTCCCCTACTGCTAAGTTTCTGGCATCCATGGGGAGCTGCATGGGCCTGGTAGCCCAGTCCTGTACACTAGGTCAGACATGCAGTGGGGAAGGGGGCATTTCAGCATGTTGTGTGGTACAGGATGCTAGGGATCGCTTCCCATGTGCAGGGGCAGCAGAGCACCAGAGCCTAATCCAAGCATGCGGGGCCAGGCGAAGGCAGAGCAGGGCCCGACCCTGGGAGGTGGGACCCAATCCAGCCAGCAGACCAGCCCCATGGGGCCAAAAGGCTGAGCACTACCAAAGCAGAAATTGTAAGTTTTAAGTCCCAAACATGACCCAAAAACAGGACTTCTCACAAACAAACATTTGGAACATATCTATTGCTCTTAATTGTCAAATTGATGGTGATCTTTCCTTATAGAAGGAACAAGCTTCCAATACAGAAACCTTGCCTTGGAGGATAGAATGAAAAACATTTTTTTTTCTCCAGTGGACCTGAGGTATAGATGAGTGTGCATTTAAAGTAATAAGATATACCAGTAGAGGTCCACTAATACATCAGTCTGATATTGGACTGGCACCAATATAAAGAAAATTGACTAATCAGAAATCGGGTTTTTTTGCCTGATGTGGCTGATAATGTGGCCAATAAATGCCCCGTAGGTGCATGCAGCTGCAGCATGCATGGGGCCAGGAGCATAGCCCGGCAGCTTGAAGAGCTGCGTCCAGCTGGTAAGTCTGTTGTGAAAAGAGAGGGGAAAGGGAAGGGGTGTGGGGGGGAAGGTAGATCGAGGCCCCTACAGTGAGGGAGTGAGAGGGGCTGGAGCACGCACTGCCCAGCCAGGGCAGGGCAGGGCAGGGCAGGATGCAGGATGGAGCCGCAGCTCATCCAGAGGGCCGGGGGGGGGGGGGGGGGGGGGGG